GGTTGCTGTTGATTTTAAGCCATGATAGAACAGAAGACAGTCGATATTGAAGAAGAAAAAATGATGATGTAATGCTGCTTTTCGAAACATAAATTGATTTCTGGTGCGGGTCTCTGTGTATATGTGTGTTTGTGTATGTGTGTGTATGTTTGTATGTGTGTGTTCGTGTATGAGTATGTGTGTTTGTGTGTGTGTTTGTATGTATGTGTGTGAGTATGTGTGTTTGTGTGTATGTTTGTATGTATGTGTGTGAGTATGTGTGTTTGTGTGTATGTGTGAGTTTTGTGTGCGTGAGCGCATGTTAGTGTTAATACTCGTCAATTGTATTTTGTTTTTTTTCAGAAGGGGGATTTCTTTTCCTCGCTTTTGATTTGTTGTCTTTTTTGTGTTAGTTTTGGTTTGGGTTTTTCCTTCATTTCTAGGGTGAGTTTTTTGTAAGTATTATTCAAACTTCAAACACAACCTTGATGGAATGGGGTGAGCACACTAACGCTACATCACTTCTAATTTGGTTAAGAACTATTTAGAATTAATTACAGTCCACATTTAGAAATCCTAAGCAGAAGAGTATACATAATTTTTTTAATGTAAATTTGTTTTCTCTATGCGTTTTAACCCTTCCTAAAAGCGTACATTCTACTTTTATACTTTAAAAAATTGAAGTTTTCTTAGAAAGCCTTTGTATACAAATAAATGCAGAATTTACATTATTGACGTGGTATGAAAGATAATAATATTATGTTCTCACCATTGTTGTCTGTGTTGTTAAAGTAAGGCCGTTTGCCGCTGGAAGAGAAAACGTGAATTCAATTCCTGATTGAAGAATTCTCACAATATTTAGAATTCGTCCAAGATCACCGCCTTCTAAGACAGATTCTGCATTGGGTTTTTTCCTCATAATATCTGTTTTCCCATCAGGTTTTGTATTTGGGTTGCTTTTTCTTTTTTTTATTATTTTTTTGTTTTTGTTGGTGGTGGTGGTGTTGTTGTTGTTGTTGTTGTTGTTGTTGTTTTTTTATTTGCTGCTGTTTTATTTTTTATTTTCTTTTTTTTCTTTTTTTTTGTAGCGTTGTTGTTTTTACTTTTTTAAAATTGTGTTGTTGTTTTTATTATTTTATGTTTTTGTTGTGGTTGTTGTTGTGTTGATTGTTTGTGTGGTTAAGGGAGGGGGGGGGCTGGATATTATTTTAGGTGTTAATTTTGTCGTTGTTGTGTTTGGGTATTTTTTTGTGTGTGTAAAAAAAGGGAGAGGGGGGGGGGCTGTAATTTTGTTATTGTGGGGTTTTGTTTTTCATTTTGTTGTTCTTGTGGCTACCATCAATGGCATGTTTGTGAAACTGCTCTGTATGGGTGTTGTAACGTGTATTAATGTATGTATTTATGTGTGTATTTATGAATGTATTTATGTATGTATTTCTAATTTCTAAGATAAAATGATACTTTTATCGTCCCAGTATGTATGTTT